GCGACCCTGAGGATGATATCCACGTCTGTATCCAGTGTTTACGCGCGATCATGAACAATACGGTAAACAAAAACGATCTTTATCATTTTCCCTTTTAGTTGGCTGTATGGCTTCATGTGCTTCATGTTTCACGTGATTCACGCGCTCAAGCCTTAAACTGCCCACGATAGATAGTAATTCAGTAAGACTCGCTCTAGATCACGTAAATTGCAGCTCTGAGAAGTTGGATTAAGAAAAGTATATTTTTCTTCGGCATTCATAGCGAATTCTACTTTCTCCGCTACAATCAACTGAAATCAACTTTCTTATAAATTGAGAAATTTTTATGTTCATGTATCTGAACAAATTCCAGCCGTCAGAGATCTGAGAAATCCTCGTTATTTTACCGCATCTTCTCCAGATTCAGAAGCCATAGCTGGAATGATGTCTGCACGTTTTGTGAGTGTTCCTTGCACGGAATTTTAGTCAGTTATTACTAACTTAATCGACTGGCATTAGATCCACGAGGAAAGTATGATTACTCTGAAACAGTTGCTTCACCTGAAGATCAGTCGCCGGAGTGGTATCGTCAAATTTGGGGACAGTACAACTGTACCTCTTCGATCAGAAAGGATTTTATGCCATCAAAATTGATTCACTGATTAAAGCACCATTCATCTCATATTTCGGTCTTGCTCCTCAGTCATTATCATTTATACCTAACTAAAAGTCATGAGAGCGAAACTTTATCAGGCTTGTTTTTGAGGTCCTTTTGTTTGATTCATTTCTGCAGTTAGTTTTTCTTTTAAACAGATCTGCTTTAAAGATTTAGAGGGTATTTAACATGCTGTTTCTTATTATGTGACAGGTCTTTACAGGCAATTAAATGCCATCTGTTTAGCACTTTTGCCTACTTGGCTCTTCCATCTATCGTTTCTGCGGTTTGTCGTTGCAAATTGATTACAAGTTTATAGTTGTTTAATTCTCACTCGGCTTAGTCGATGCAAGCTCGTAATCTATCATAGGCATTAGGCCTTTACAAATGAACCCGAAGCACTCTGAAATAAATTTGTTTGAAACACAACCACAGCAGAATTTGTATTATCACAATAAAATCAGTGTTATCAGGTAACGTCACGGTGGTGATAGAGGTTACCTCATTCTGATCATAAGTGGGGCTGTTTGAGAAAACGTTTCACTAAGGACATAGTATTTTTGCTTAGTGTTACTGCATTCCACATTAAGTAAACCGCTCTAAAATCCTAAGGTATTGTAGCCTATTTAAATCTTAGTTGAGTCGTGCTACTTGTCTTTTACTTAAGTCATAGATCATCGGTTTTTTCTGAGTCGTGCGCAAAGCCGCAGATTTGTAGCAGCATACTTGGCAGTTTACTGTCGGTTCGTGTTCATGATTCTCTTTTCTCTTACGTACTATTTCTCTTTGTTCAGTAGGCTTGTTATGGCACTTTTTTGTACTAACTACTGTCTAATTTTTATTTTTTTTGTCTCATTTCCTCATTTGTTTATTTTTTAAAATCTTTTAGCTACGATGCTGGGAAGAATGTTGCACGGTTTCTTTTCTGTAGTCGCCTAGGGGCACCGTTCAAGCAGTCTGCAGACCCATGACGTTCATTTTAAAATTGAGCGTATTTCCTGTTCTTTTATCTAGCTGAAAAGTATGATTTATTAGGTTCTCTTCAAGCAGTGAACTTTCACGTAGTATATCTACTCTGATTGATTTGATTCGGCCGTCTTTTTTTATGTGATCCCTATAGCGATCATCATTGTAGGGCACCAGAACTTTATTCTGTTCATTTTTGCGTTCTTTTCCTTTATGTTTCAAATAGACAAATATGCTCAGTTGAACAAGTGTTCTTCTTCATACACTAACCGCAGAATGATATTACATGATCGTGTTTTCCGTTAATCGAAACAGTCCGACGATGTAAATGGTTCTTTGACAGAAAGACGGAAGTCATAAAATTTATGGTTAGTCAAATGATATTTACATATTTAATCTCTTTTCGAGTGGCCATTTTTTTCGTGATCCTGGTTCAGTACTTTCTTTAATTAATTTGAGAGCCACTTTAGCGAACGATTTTTTCAGACGGTACTAATTATTGCAGCTAAGTTAGGTAAACGTCATTTGAATTGTTTTTATGGCTTTCGGCTTCGCTGTGTTGTCATATAACAATTTAGTCTTTACACGGCTAAAAACAGCGCTATTCGGTTTATCAAGTAAATTTTCGTTTTTCAGATATATGCTTTCAGAAGCTGCCATTTCAATCTCTTGCATATGACGGCGTAGATGACAAACATGTGATTATTGGTTGGTTTTAACGGTGCGACGAGTTATTAATGCTGCGATAGCCGCTTTTGTAAACGATTATCTTAATGTAAACTATGCTCGTAATTACTGATACTTGCACATGATGATAATCATTTGTGAATGTTATGAATGTCTTCAACCAATCAAAGCCCAGGCTAAATTTAATTTTCGTATCAACCGATCACTTGTTGACAAGTTAATATTCTCCAAGCAGCTAGTGAGAACAGTTAATCTGCATGCATATGCAGCGTTGCCTATGACGCCATCATTAGCGGTGATGTCCGCTACACAAGTTGAAGCGCAGTTCTTGTAAGATTTGGATATACGACACCTATTTACATTCTATCCTTTGGCTTTGCCATTACCATACACGACTGACATTTCTCATGGTCACAAGTCTCAGATAGAATACCAATTTTGGTTTGAATACCGTCTAACGCTTTTACTCGGTAATGGACGTGATCATCGCAACTTTTTGCACCTGAAGTCATTATGGTTTTTAAAATAGTGTTTAGAACAGTAAATCAGCTGAAATGTTTATACGGAAACCTACGGTCTTTTTCTTGTATCGATTTTCGTCACGTAAAATATAATGCGAGCAAAAATTGTAAATCTCCACAAGAAACACCATTTCATCGTTACGTTTCTTTTGAAAAACAGTTCCCAGCTTATTAAAAGTTGTTATTTAGCCTTGTTCCATCTGATCACGATTTCAAATAAAGTTAAATGACTTGTGGAAACTAACTTGTCGGTGATACCCAACGAATATTAATAAATATGATTTATGTACCGTTTTATACAGAACCATCAAAATATAAGATCGTACGGTGAAACATGTTAAGCAATGGCAGATTTTCGGTATTGTACCTTCATGTTGTTCCTAGTTACCATTGGAACTTTTCCTTATTAACAGGCCAGCGCTTCATGGTATTTGAGCTCCTTTAGTGCTAGATGCATCTGGCATCATTTTATTCGATTCAGCAGTATCATGCTAATCAAAAATGATGTTTCAGAACTTGTGGAACTGTGCATATTAAATGCTCAAGCATCAAAATATTTGTTCATTGACCAGCGTATTAAAATTAGAGCTGCCACAGAACAAGATTTCACGACCTGCGTAACATTTACATAACAGAATGCGAGCCCATATTATTGATATTCATCTGATAGCATGTATAGATCGATATGGACCTGCTCTTGATGCATAATTCCGGATGATATGTATAGTGCGATAACTGCAGCGAACAGAATCACTAGAGGCGTCTAACATTAATGGTGCTCGATAATCATCAAACCGGAACCGGTTTAAACGTTCCACTTAGATAATTAAAAACCTGATGGGACGGCAATGCTCGTGAAAATTTAGTTTTGAAGGGTTTATATGTGTTTTTATGCTTGATTGTGTTTAATGGTGGGTGACAATTTCAAAGCAGAAAATATTGACCATTTTATGGGATTCACTTATGATAGCAGTTGAAAGTGACGGCGTTTTGTATCATTGAACCTCACTCGCGTCGGTTGTACCTATATATAAGGCATCTGAATGTGCATATGTTGTAATACATTATAGAAGGTCAATATGCAGATCTCTGCGGACTAACCGTTGAAAAGTCGCGGACATGAATCTCGTCGAAGCCAAGTTCCTCTGATGCTGCTTGTTTAGTCACGTGAAATACCATTGCGTATTTCTAACCTTTATATTAGCTATATAACCTGGTGATCGTTGATACATAGAGCCTGTAACTGTAACATGATCAGTCTTTTCCTGACCTATAGGATAAATCATTTAGAAGAAGGAAACTGCTACTAAGAACCCAACCGAAAAAATCAGGGCTGGGGTCTGTCCACTGTCTGGTATGTTATGTTGTCGAGAATATGATTAAGTATCGTGCCATCTGGGAAGGTAAATGAACTTTTTTCGCCTATTACCCTTACTTTTCCTCAATGGCAGCACTGTAATTTTTGGCGCTTTCCTGGTGATCTCTGTTTCGACGTTGCTATTCGAGATTGAAGTGTTCCATGAAAGATACGTCGGCAGCTGCTGGTTAATTACTGCGTCTTGTAGTATTCTGTTTCTTTTCCACAAAGTGCAACGTGTGTATATGCCTTGGAAGGACAAAATACTAGCGACACCACCGGATTGCAATTGCCATATTGCGACCGCCAGTCCGGCGCGCTACCGATTAGGCTTCGCGCCTTGAACAGAGGGCAAGTTGAGACTTTTTGACAGGTCTGCTAGGTTTACGCTTTCACTTTCTTTTCAATGAAGCGATGATTTTCCTCGATTGCGGTTAAACTTTACTTTCATCCGTGCTATTGGCTGTTCAGCTGTTTCCTCAAACACCACGTCAGCATCGAGCGCATTCAGTTGCAGCACAAGGCAGTCTCTGGACTTCCTGTTGTTTCGTTCTTTACCTCCTCTTTGGCGAACTTCCGAAGTATTCGGAAGACCAAGCGTGGTAGAAGAACCTAATGGCAAACTGCTTTAAAAAACACCCATCGGAGTCATGCATTTTCCAGCGATGATTTCCAGTAATTTCCGTCTCCTCTTGCGGAAATTCGATTTGCGTTCTCGGCGCTTCTCGTCACGCCAGTCTTCAGCAGCACGCGTTATTCTCCTATAAGAAACATGGCTACATCATATGAACGATGACAACATCCATGGATTGGAACACTTCGTTTATTGCCGCCTTGGTTGTCCAGAGAAAGTGAAGCCTCATTTTCGAGGTATGATAACATGGTTCAAATTTAAGCCTTGGCCTATGATGTAGAGTTATTGATTCCTTCGTGGAGAACTCTGCTTACGGCGTCAGCCTATGTTTCATCGGTCAACTGTAGGTATTCATGAGCGACGTTAACCCAGCATATTTAACGGATCTTGATGGATCTTGATCTCGCTAACTTCGTTTCGTTTCCCACCTGGTTTCACTCCTGACTAAATTGGGCAGTAATGAACAATCTCGATTGTTTCTGCATTAATGATGAATGATGACTGGCAGACTGCTGTAGAGACAGTGCAATTAGTCCACTTCTTTGCTATGAATTAAATATATGTGTAGAGTACTTTCAGCATGGATTCAATATGGTTTTCAACGACAGCGAAGCCATCTATTGTCTGGTCAGGAGTATTCTGCACCCGAGCTTACGGTAACGTATAGGGAACGTCGCTGTCATGTGTCACATTCTAATTTGCTTTTCAGGACGAAAACTTCCGTTCTCATTTTGTTAGCAGCGATCTGTCTGGTCAAAGGCGGCCATGAACTGATAATCAGTTCCTTTGACCGTTTCAAGAAGGTATCATTCTTAGTACAAATATGGCATTTTAACTGATGTCTTTCAAGGAATGTTTTGAAGAGAAGCGCTTTCAGACACTTTTCGGCTATTTTCAGGACTTTGAAGAATTCCACGTCGATTTTATGGTACGAAATACGTTTGTTTCTGTGCGTTAGAGGTAAAAGTTCAGTTTCTGTTGCTCAAATGCATCACACCCCACATATCTGGTTGCGTATCCGCCTTTACTACTAGATAACCAAGCGGAGACAGGGTGAAGTCACAATTTCATGATATTCTAGCTTCTGCATTCTAAATACGCGTATCTCATCAGTTTGCTATCTACAACAGTGTTTATTTACGTATTACAATGACCTGTTACCTATTACCTCTGCTTGGAGGGATATCGACACAGTGTTCAACTTTCGGCAAACTTTCGTCCTTCTCACATGTTGGCTTCCAGTGTCACTAAAACGTTATTCCGTCTAATGCACGAGTCGCTACCTTCGAATCAGATGGTAGATAGCATGACAGATTTTACCGACCTTTCTTCGTTGATTAGAGCGAACGCTAGTCTCAGATCCTTTCGTCTTAAAATGCTTTGCCAGTAGGATAAAAATGTGGATGCAGTCAAACATTATTTTAAATGGCACAAGTCAAGTCAGTGTATCTGCAAATCCATTGATCCCTGTTACTAGTACTGAAATTGAATGTTACCCGGCATTTCTTTCTCATTTCATTTCTTTCTCATGTTAAGTGATGAGAGACATTGTCATAAAAAGGCATTCGAGTATCGTTTAAGCAACATGAATGACATTTTTCAGTTTTGACCACGATAGTTAGTAATGTTATATTTCTTAGCGATAAATGCCGGATATACAGCGGTGTTAATTAAATATCTTCATTCGTTGAGCAGAACCTCTTTGCTTCTTCTCCAGACTTGCTTTTTTCCATTCAGCGTTCGATACCTCTAACAAATTGAACCTGGAAATTTCTTTTCAATAGACGAAGTGAACATGCAGATGATGGTAGCGGAATCAAAAGGAATGTTTGTAAACATTGGAATGTCTGTCTTCACTTTTGTGACTGGGCCATTCTAGCATCCTTCTATTCATAAAGTTGATGATGCCATACTGACTTCCGTTTTTATGCATTAGCCAGGAGTGCTCTATTATTTTAAGACAGAGTATGCAGCCCTGTGGCAAAACGTCGCGTGTAGTCTGCCGTTTCCTTTCTACAGAATGGTATTCATTTATCTACATCGGAAGGAAGGAGTGACTCCGACCAGAACTATCGATTGAGTTCGACGCTCTATCGATTGAGCAACCCCAACGAACTTTGAAGCAGTGTGTGGTAAATTTCTTGCTCTTGGGAATTCGTGAATAGTACAAAGACTGCCATCGGGCGGAATCGAGCCCACTTCCTCCTGAGTTCGAAGCAGACCTCATAGACAACCGCGACCCTACAGACCATACACAGAAAACGGGCACATGTATCACTAACGTTAACATAATCAGCTTGTCAGTTCAAGGCGTAGGACAGTTCCGTTAGTTAAAAACTCCTTAAAGCATTTATAGCAGAGCTGCTCTGTCGTCCCAGATTCGCTGCCTCGGCCGTGCATGCTACGTCTCTCATCTGCTCATCGAGTGACTTGTTACGACATACCTAATTATGACCTTGTCAAAACTGCATTTTGCCGGTTCTGCTGCATGAATCAAAGATAAAGATGAGATGGAAGTGGGGAAGAAGATCGACTTAAGCACCGACAGCTTAATTTTCAAACTCAGCTCTGCTCTGATTACAGACTTTTTGGGTTCGTTCACGAAAACGCCGCTGTTCATTTATATTTGCTTCTGGGCCTTATCCTCCCGCTTTTCAACGCCAGTAAACACGACCCGAAGGTACCTGAACTTCTCCACATGCATCACTACCTCTCCGTTAATCTGATCAATGGGCAGGAGAACGCGAAAGCTCTAGGCTTTTAGTTTAGATGCGTTTATATGCATGCCGGCTATGTCGCAGTCAGCCTCGAACTTTTCTGGGTAGCACTGTAGATCAGTTTCAGAAGATGCCAATAAAACGTGGCCATTTGTAAACAGCAACCTTCTCGTCTCGACATTTACTACGCTGATACACTTATCGCTCAGGCTGCCCCTAATTACTCCGTCAGTGTACAACACAAACAGAACAATGGACCAGTGCCAACGCTGAAAGACTTCGACTTAGCGCCATTTACTCTGTCATAGTACCTGCTATTAGAATACAGTGATTGGATGGCCCTGTAGCTGCTGGCCATGTATCCCGTTTGCTCGCAGGCATGACCAAAGACCGTTGCGCGGAATCCGGTCATAGGCTTTTTTAGGTCTGTATGAACGAACTCCTATGATTTTTCAATATTCTGACGTAGGGCGAATATCTGGTCAGATGTACTTCGGCCAAACCTGAATCCACACTGGCCTGTAATCTTCTTTGAACAAGCGTCCTAGAATGTCTATTCTTCAGTTAACTGTTCCCTTTTCCGTAGCTACTGCAGTGTGATAGACTCCTGTTACCCACAACATGCCATGTTCCTCTGAAGCTTCTGTCAGATAGGACGGATTTCATTTGTATCGCATCCTTGCTATTTTTCAAACATTTTTCCACTTTTACCAGTTTATCTGCTGAAAGACTAATATTCGTTTTGTTTTGTTTGTCAAATGATTCTCTCTGCCTATGGTTAAGAGTTCTTCAAATACTCTCCGCATCGCTGAGTATCTCCTCTTCCTTGTATGATGAATCCGGACTGGTTCTTCAGGAGGTTTTCAAAATGCTTTTCTTTCGTTCTCAGAACCAATGGATGGTCTATCAGAATGCATTTTTGCTGCATGATGCTTCTCTTGCAACTTTTACCAAACTTTTCACACGAATTAGATTTCGTTTTAGCCACTGGATTACCTGGTGTTTTACGCGCCTGTTTTGTGCCGCATTCGGTTGAATTCCCCTTACTTCCGCGCTTCCTATCGAATGCAGCCTTTTTTTAGTGATTACCTGCTGAACGTCCAGTGCCCAATGCCCTCTCGCAATTTAAAATGCACGATTTAACAACACATCAGGTAAATGGGGGTTAAACAAATTCCACATGTTTCCATGAGCATGGCTTATTGGAAACTGTTCAAGAGTCACGAAATGTCCTTTGCTGCTTGGTCACTCATTTCGGCAGTTGTTAGTGATTCACATTTGATTTGGCGGTTTCTTCTGCCACCGTCTTTTTGTACAGTACTCCATTTCTCACAGGTAGGATGCCAAAAACAAGGCGATGATCAGTTTACAGCTCTGTTCCTCTCTTAACGCGAACATCCATGATGGAGGCAGCTTCATAAGTCAGACGATGCGATTATCAGATCGATCACCGACTTCTCCATATTAGGTATACTGGTTCACGTTTGCGATGCTTAAGAAAAAGTTCATGATAGATAATTAATTATTTGCTATAGGTTTCGCCTAATTACACCCGCTATTGCAAAGTTCCATAAAGCGGTTCCCCCTCTAATCATATCTCTCCTTTCTCTGTCTGCTCTGGCATGTGCATTTGAGTAGCTCATCAGAATGAAGAATGCGGAAGCTGGTGCATCATTCAAACCACCTTTCACTTCTTCCAGAGATACGCAAATTTTCCGTCTAATTTTGGTGCACAGACCTCTAATAAAGTTCAATACTTTGCTTATAGCAAAAATCTGATAATTGGGTTTAACCTTAACGTTAGCGTCGGATTGAAGACAGAACATAAATTCTACTTTCTTAAAATTCCGACCCCATGGCTTTTCGCTGACGAGAGTCAAACTCCCTGGCTGCCTCATCAGCTTACTGTACTCTTTCCTACCGATTGAGGAAAATTTCCGATTTTCGATATCTCACTGTTGCTATCGTTCCGTGGAATTCTGTGTAATATAAGATAATGGTATCGCGTTGTCTTTCTCCTTTGTTCAGAATGGAGAGCGATTCCATTATTGATTCCTATCCTCATCATCTTTACGTAGATCATCGGTAATCATCGACGACTGCTGGAAAACATAGAGCAGATTCCAGTCGCCAACATTTCACAGTGTTCCTCAGTTTATCAAGAGACTCCTTCGCCGCCTTTGTTAACTCGGTCGACGACCTCGCCAGGAAAACATTCAGTTGTCTCAAAACCTTTCGGGCGGATTGCTGTCTTACGTTAAACATTTCCCCTGTTCGCAACCCTTCTTGGGTTTTAACTCAGACTTGGTATCTGTCACGGCAGTGGCGCTGCAGAAATTATCAAGCCGACAAAACTAGAATGTAGGGTGGAAGTAGAATTATTTGGGTGGATTTTGTTTACGATGATGGTACTGACCATATTCTATCAGCTGTTGGATTTTTTCTGTCTCTTTTGTTGTTGTTTGAAAATCTCTATTTACCTAGGATTAGTAATGACGAGTTGCTCAAGATAAGTAAAAGATGTGATTCTTTTTAATCTCGCTGAAAATTATGTTTTCAGCTTTAGCAGTCAGATATTTGGAATTCCTGATAATAATAATCGGCAGTTGCAAACGTCTCATGTTTATGCCCAGTTAAATACCTGATTATTGAATTTATGAATAATTGCAGACAATGCAATATTTGTGAACTTTTGACGGTATGTCAGGGGACTGTGTAGAAAATTTTGTGCTTATTCATTAAGTGCAGTGTTGAGCGTCGAAAAGGCTCTGAAAAACAAATAAAACAGTGCATGAAAAATAAATTAAGCTGCATTACCTTAGCGCTAATTTATGTAGTTGTTGCTGTAGTTGATCAATTACAATGATTATCATTGCCTTCCAGAGTGTTTTTTCAAATTCGTGGAAAAGTTAAATTTTAGGTTGCTTGTATGCAGTTTATTAACATAATCGTCCATTCGGTAGAGGACATGAACTACCGAATATTTCTTCAAGAAGAATTTCGATTTTTGGGCTTGAACGATTAT